CCTCTTTGTCTAAGTTCAAGCCTCCGTGAACTGCCTTCCTCAGAAGGCCGGCTAATTGGTAAAGGTTGGCTTAAAGAAATCGAACCAATTGCAAGGCAATGCCCTACGAAGAAGGGAATCCGATTTCAGGTCACTTTTAGTGACATTTGTTTCAAAGTCACTGTACAGGATAGAGCATTTTGCTCTCAAACTGTTGTGTAAATCATTGTGATTAAAGGCATCTAGCAATCCTTCCGTTAGGTCGGGGCTATGATTCGTTGAAACCCGATCTTGCTCCATTATCGGGCAGTGTGTTCGTGTTTGGCGACTTGCTAGATGCCGATACCGCTCCATCCCTTCCCAGGTTCAGTTATTCTCAGCAGGAATACCCCTTTTGCAATGTTTGATTTAGCTACCAGACATCAAATCCAAAAATTATCTTTATTAGCATTGAGAACACTTACCACCGCTACCATGTTGGCATCTCAAGTCTTTCCTAAAGCCATAACACAGACAATGATCTAGTGCTGGGGTACAAAGGGATAGGGAAGCTATTGGACACGGCACAAGGACTTAAGTCTAACCCACAGAGGTTGATAAACCCCTATAATTAAGTATACCATTTTAGTAACTATAACCTCCATACACGGTAATATAAAGTAAAATGCAATTTTCTTAAATTTTTACCTTTAAGTTCTACTACTCACCTTATTTTCTACCAAAAAAAGTTACAAGCGGAATTTATTTTGGGCTAAGGAGAAAGATGGTGTAGGTATTTGTAAGTGCTTTGAAATTTTGCCCAAAACGTTGCTTTGCAGGGGACTTTCATAGATACGCATAATATTATAGGCAAGCAAGACAGGTGATTCTGCATTACAGCCTCCATCTTGCTTGAACCATTGTACCCATCGCCTCCAATAATAACTTTCCTGTGTTCACCAGGTTACTTCTATTACAGTGGGAAGACTTCTTAATCAAACATACAATGATGAAGTTTGTCGCCTAGATCCTTGGTTGAAAAAAAACCTATTGGTGTGATTCTTGCAGGGAATGTTGCCTTAGGTTACGTGATGCTGCGCAGGAAAACCATTTTTCTTAAGCCAACTTTTCTCTCACCTTTTTTACAGGGCATTTGGAAACAGTTCTTTTTACGAATGATATTGAATAGCAAAGGATAGGTTTCGTTTCGCCTAAGTTATTCCACATCAAATGGGGCAGTTATTCACCGTAGATGTTTACTTACAAAACCTACTGGGAATAATTCTTTACAGTCTACACTAAGGCTGCTGACCAGTATGGCACAAATGATGTGAATTAGGCTACCTGCCACCAAAATCAAAACTGCCTTCCCAAAGACATTTAAAGGCATTTAGGAGAATTTCATAGCCGTTTATCTATATTATATATAATAGTAAATAAAAGTCTAGACTTCGTCAGGTGTGCATACCTATTTCTGATGAGTTAAAGTGTAAAAACATGCAGTTGCAATATAATTGCAGAAAATGTAATATTAATACACTTTCACGTGCATTTTTTTACAAAACGTCTTACTTATTTATTCTTAAGTAACGGTACCTTTGATCAAACATGACAAGGTCAAAAAATGAATACTACTCAGGAGATCAGGAAGATTAACCACCACCATTTCATGAAAAGTCAAAAGTGTATCCATTGTTTTGCCTTACCAATATAACCAATTCCATGAAAATTTTAATGCACTATGCACATGGAATTTATGATCTTATGCAAGAACACTAGAAGGTGGTATGCCTGTTAATCCGCTACAGCAATCGAGAAGCGAGGGTGGTCAACGCTACAAGACAAAAAGGGCATCGCCCCAATGAACTGCATAAATGGATGACACTAGGCTGCGGCCGACAAACAGATAGACTGACTGATTAATACGTATTGGGGAGTGACATTTGTAATCCAGTGTTTGAAATGCGTGCATTAACATCAACTCGCCAACCACACCTTCGAGGCGCTCACCTCTACATTTTTATAAGTCGTTTTATTCTTGGTATGCGCGTGTGCATGTGTATGGTAGAGCACAGATTCAATTGTTGGTTTACTGGAGCCCAAACAATAACTATGGCAAAGATCTGTGTCCTTGAGTCAACCCAAAATTGCGTGAGAGATGAGCCTTCTTATTCCTCTTCTTGAGAGAAAGCTGACATTAGCCAGTCATTTACGGAGAATAAAGTGGGATTTTTAATAGTGCAAGGCATCACAAGGCAAGACTTCATACTTCATATCGCATTCCGCATACCGCAATACTGACCCGTGAGAATATCGGCGCTTATCCATGAGGGAAGAGGGGGAAGGAAAGAGGGATGGAGGGAGAAAGGTGCTGCCCCTACCTTAACGGTGTTTCCCCACATGACTACCATCACCTTTTCTTAGCAGTAACACTACACAGTTGGGTAATACTTGCGAGATAAAAATGCAAGTGATTAGGGATACATTTTCTCTAGGCTTCCAGGGACAAAATCTTTTATACAAATGAAACTTTCCTCCAGTCCTGCATTTTGTTAAGTGGAAATGGGTAATAAAATCAAATAGTACTTATTTGAAAGAACAAAATATTTGCTGAAGCTTTTTTGCCATTGCTTATTGCTAGAGAAGGAGGGCTTTAGCCACATTTTTCTTCCGTATTTGATATTATTTTTTTTATTAAATTTCCTTAACTTTAATTAATTGAATGCAAAACACTCCCCCCTCAGTAAAGAATTCACAAAGCTGGGGGAAATTTTGTAAGACGCGATCAAAAAGAATGGCGGACTGTTAATTGCAATATCATTAACCATGCACCACGCTGTCTGAGGAGATTGAAGAAATCGTGTTGTTTAAGGTACACTTAAAAAACGTTATTTTACTGTACCAAAGTTAAAAGCACAACAGTCCTTAACTAAGGACTCTGGAAATAATCCAAATGCACATCAATATTTGACTTCATGAATGTATTTGCACCCTCAGTTCATCAACGTCATGACTTTTTGACCTAATCAAAATATTTGCCATAATTTCTGATGATAAACACTAAGATTTAAGTAAGTTCATCACTTACTATCTGATTTCCAGATATTCTCCAGGATGTGACACTCCTAGAATAATGCGGTTGGTGCATAAGGCGAACAAATTTGAGGGATCATTTGCCCAGATGAGAAAACAAAACACTACGGGCAACTTTAAAAACATACTTAATTGTAGAACAAGTATCACCATCCTCTTGCTGATTTTAGAGATTATTTTAAAAATATTATTGTTAAATAGGGATTGTTGTTTAAGAGGCCATGCCTGTAGACCAAAAAGTCAAGTTATTTTAAGCACATTAGCTTGAAAATCCGTAATTCATGAGCAAATGTAAATAACCATACAGGAACTATTTAATTCGAAAGACTTTGACATCAGACAGAAGTATAAATTACGGGGGTTTAAATACCACGCAATTAAAGAGATAAATATAAACAATCGCCGTCTTCTTCCACTAGGGCAAAAACTTTCCCTAATATTTTTGTTTAAAAGCTAAAAATGGGAAGCATGGGAGAGATGGCTCCGTGATTCCAACTTCTTCGGAGAGATTTTGCAATATTTTAATTATTGTTCTCTACAACCACCAGTTTTAAGCCCTTGAATCGAGAAGATTAGCCAGAAGAATACACCTTATATCGCGTAGTATGAGGGATTTTCAAATAAGCCTAGCTTTACAAGGCGCCTGTTACGTTTGTTAAACTTCAAGGCTGGTGTAAAATGACAGCTTGTCACCTGAAAAAGGTATGTTTAAACAAACATTATTGCATACATATTACTTTTTAAGTTAATATTTACCTCATTATTAATCTTTTTGGTTTACTTTAGTAATTACTGAAGACTTCTCTTTAGGTGCACTGCGCCGTGGACATGTGGCGGGGCTGGTTCTCGAATTTCGTGAACAATAAATAGTCATGACAACTTTTAGTGACAATTCACAAATCAAGAGTCGCATACGCCACTCGTTAATTTATGTGAATTACCAATAGAGCACTTTCCAAAGTGCATGACTCTGTTTAAAAGGGTATAAATTCACAATTTTCTGCCGCCTTTTTTATTGGCATTTGCTAAAAGAGCATGAATACCCTTTTGTTGCTATTGACAATCGTCCACACCATTCTACCATCTCTCGCTTGCTACGGCAACGGCTGCGGCGGTCAGTACAATTTCCGTGCCTGCAATGAGCCGATTTGCCACTATGGGAAGTACATCGGCTATGGCTGTCGTCACGGTGTCTGTCCATTTGTCTGCTATGGCAGTGGCTGCCGGAACACACAAACCAGCTACAACAACATGAACCCACTACAGCTAAGGAACAGTAACTTCTACGGTGGTTGGGGCAATGGGGCCTATGGCTATCGCGGCTGTCTTGGTGGAAACTGCGGGTTCTGGGGTGGATGTGTGAACGGGCACTGCGGTGGTTTCTACGATTTTCGAAACTGTAAAACACCGTCATGTGTCAGCGGACCCTACCACGGTTATGCATGCTTCGACGGAACCTGCAGGTACATTTGCTTCCAGGGCATTTGTCACACCCCGTACGCCTACGGTCTTGGATGCTACGGACCAGGGTGTGATGGATATTACCAGTTTCCGAAGGTGGGATATCATGGGACGTGCTCTGGATCGAATTCCTATTACGGAGAAGAGTGTGAAGAGACTGATGAAAACAAGAAGACAGAAAGGATAAAACTAAATAAACATTGTTAAGCCTTGCAAAAGGCCAAATAAATGAGATTGCATTAATGTCTTCAAACCTTGATTTGAAAAAATTATCTTATACGAACATTAGGTGCTTTAGACAAACAAGACGCCAATTTTCAAGGTTCACTTTCATTAATAAATACCTAAATTAGTTAAGACTGAAAAATTCAAACATAGGTCAAAAAGTTAAAACAAAATTTTTTGCAATAGAATTTGTGTGATAAGAAGAAGGTTTATGTGGATTTTGGTATGGAGCCATAAAACACCACTGCGCAACTTCCGGAAACATGGAACATCAGCGTTTATTTATGCTGCAAACTATGAAGGTACGTCAGTCTTTGTCATGCTCTCTGCACCCAATTCACTTCATCTTCATGTCCTTCCGACTCATCTGCACTGCCAACCCAGTTGACTCTGGTTCCTTCAATGCTCCTAAAGTTACTTTTCTAATTTGTTGTACCACATTCGGAGAAGGCGTGGTATTCAGTAGCAGAGCACCCTACTATGCACGATTAAGCTCCTTAAATAAACTGCTTAATCGTGGTGAACCGCAGGAAAAAAGGCAACTACGTTGTCCTCAGAAGAACCACTTGTCACCATTGCCTACGCCCAGTTGGAGATTAGCAGGTGAAGGGGAAGAACCTGTGGCAGTGCTTCACGCGAGTGATGAAACAACTGATTCACAGCTAAAGCTATCAGGAAGGGAAGATGGTGAAGACCACAAGACAAATGGGTATCACCTAAATGAACTGAATACAAGGATGGCATTAGGCTATGACAGACAGACTGACTGAGTGAAAAAGTGAAAAGTGGTACCTCTTGGAAAGTGGCATTTGCAATCCAGTGTTTAAAAAGTTCATACTGGTTATCCACAAACCATCAACTCGCCAACTGCAAAAGCGAGGCACCCACCTCTTCATCTCCACGAGGTTATACATGCATGTGCATGAAGGAGTGCGGACGCAATTTTTCATTGACTGTAGTCCACACGATAGCTACGGCTAAGATATGTGCCCTTGGGACAATTCGTGACTGAATGAGAAATAAGCCTTCCTATTCATCTTCCTGGGAAAAAGCCAGTATTGGCCAATCCGTCATGGGCAATAAAGTTGTTTTCTTACTCTTACAAGGCGTCACAAAGCATGACCTACTTTGTCATTTCGCGCACCTCTCGACTTACTCGTGAGAACATTTGCTCTTGACGACAGGAGGGGAGCAAGAGGGGTAGAGGTACAGCCTCTACTCCAGCCTCTTCAAATCCTCATCTCAGGTTTCTTCACGTGATGCTCATTTCAATTTCTTAGCAGTGGTATCATACTTCTAAGTGATCACACATAAATTTCAGTTAGTTGTCAAGAAATATACGTAGTTTTCTTGACACAGTTTACCCAAATAACGGGCTTTATGGATTTGCCGGAAATGCATTTACTCGAAAGTGGTTTTATGCTTTGGAAATATATGTGATTACACTTTTACTTCATCATTTATTTAAAAGTGAGCTCTTTTCAAAGGCATCATTCACAAGGCTGTGTTTTATGTTTTTATTCCCTCTACTGTCATGTTTTTTTTTTCCTTCGCCTCCTTCTACATAGATATTTAACTTCTGAACTTCTCGGCTGTGGTGCTACCTCTTCTTCCTTCCGTAGCTGCTGTATACATTTCTCTTTCCCCTTCTTATCTTCTTCTCCCTACCAATTGATGTTCTTCCCGATATTCTCGTCAAGACTTTCTTCATACACCACCTTGTCGTGTACCAGGTACGATGCGTCCAGACACCATAGTTATTAACGATGACAGACATCTTCGCAGCAAATGGCAGGACAGTAGCCGAGTGTGTGATGCTGCTAGGAGTTGTAATGACCGTTGCAGAAGCCCCAATGGCATCCACCCAATAGGCACAGTGTCCATCATTGCAATTGTTTACTCCAAGGCCTCCATAACCCCAAAGGTAGGTGATATTAAGACCAGAAAAGTTAAGGTTGGTGAAGTCATGGCAGAATGACTACAATAGATGTGGGCGCAGTTCTCAAGGTGACATAATATCAGACAGCCCCTCGGAAGTTGTAAAACTACGTATCCTTTGCATATGTATTGGGCCCCCGAACAAGTACAGCCGTGACAGAGTAACTTGCATGAACACACAGAACAGGGGCTTTAAAACATTCTGCAAGTGTGGGGTCACGAACTGCCTTTTGCGTTTCACACAAAGTGAGTGACTCAGGTTTCACATCCAACTGGTTTTGTTGGTCATGTCATTGTTGATTATTTCAATTACTTTTATGCTATCACTGAAATTCTAGGTCCCTAATGACGCTTTCCAAGTCTTTAAACATGATTCATGCGACGTAATACAACCGTCATTTTAAACCAAAATCCTTTGTAAAACACTTTAACAATTCTTTTCTTAGTTTTATTCTATTGATTCGTCGCTTTGGACAATGTATAAAAGTGTGCGATTCCAGGACTGTGATTTATCTGCAATTTGTTAATCGTTGCTGCGTTGGTAATTGGTGACGGAAAATGAACAACTGGTATCTAAACCATGTAACCATGTGGTCAAAGATTCCGATGTTGCTAGCGAGATAGCAAATCTAGGTGTTACATGAGAAATCAGGAGGTACAGATAGACGAATGGTTGTTTACTTATAGTAGAGTAACTATTAGAGCTACTTCATAGCATATGAAAAGACATGGGCCTTAAGCAAATTAGACCCATCTTTATGGAAGTTTCCACCGCGCTAACATGTAAGTACGTGAATAAATGATACTTCGCGTAGCTAGTAAGGGAGTAGGATTTGGGGAATCGTCTAAAAGGATTGAAATGAGAACATGAAATAAATTCTGAATATTGCCTCAATGAGGTCAATTTAAAGGATATGTTTTATGCAATAGCATTGTTTGTGGTAAATTTCTCTTCAGTTAACAGAAAGGAAGTAAACAGAGTTGTTACCAAAATGAAGTTCATTAGCCTCGAGTTGTACGTGGTTTCTGTACGTTTCGCCTCGATGAAAAATTGGTGTATAATCTTTTTCCCAAGTCCTGGTGCCAGAGAGTGGTCACAGGGAGCAGTGAGAAAGCCTTTTAAGAAGAGCGGAGTACTCTTTCCGAATGATTTTTTATTTGATATTTGGTTGCTTAACTAAACGAGCCCTTTGGCTTGCATTATTTTGCTTCCGAAAGCGACAGATACAAAGGGGAAAAACTGGAATGTTTCAATGCTAATTCTTAACAACTGCTATACTATGCTAGTATGAAAAGTGGTAATGATTTGGAATATCGGTTTCACAAGTCCCATAGCCCTAAACTTCACCCACTCTATCATCTGACTTGGTTTCTTTCTGAGGAGTTCATCAACTACTGATAAAATGAAAGTAATTCCACTTTTTCCACTAATGCGCATCTTATTGATAAGGCTAATCCAAAAGCCGTGACAGAGTACTAGCCGCATGCTGAACAACGGAAGAAAAGTGCAATATTCAGCTGACAAAGAGACTGAGAAAATTGCGAATATGTAGCCGATAATCCCTAAAGTTTAAGTTATTTGCTAGGTTAGGGTGGAGCGAATTTAAAATGAAATGATAAACTAATGAAAAAATCAAAAAGCTTTTCGCAAATTCTGTTTGTTGAGATAAACAATAGTTTAATGTGTCACATATTACTACCCATCAAAACGAAAGTCTGGTGCAAAATTGCACTTTTATAAAAAGTTTTATTTCTGAGAGGCAAGAGGAATCTATTCCTAGTCGCATATATTTTATTTCGCGTGCATTTATAAATAATGCACTTTATTTCTTTGGCTATCATTTAATATTTTGAGACTACTGCTACAGAAAGGTGCTAAGCATCAGGCGAAGAAAAGTAAATATGAAATTTTTTCCACTCCCACCCTTCCTCTCATCCTCCAGCGCAAAAGCTCTCACAAGTTAGTTGATGTCGCTACGAGGCATGAGCTCCTGCCTTTCTCCGAGTTCTAATTAGTTCCTTAAAAGAAGGAAAAGGAGAAGCCAGATTCTTTGACACTGTCATGTTTCATAGTGCAGCTAGATCTCTGTCGCGGTTATTTCTTGACTTTTAACGAGTGCCACATCGTTTTTGTAATGTTTTTACAAATTACAGCAAGTTACTACAACGAAATCTACCAAAAAACCGAAATGACTTAACCGCATAATTCACGTAAAATTACCCATCAAAATGAATCGTCTGAAAGATTTTTATTTTACAATGAAACAGTTGCTGTCAAATCCCGCATTTTCTATGATCTCTGCATCTGCTTCATCCATTACTATGACAGTTTTCTTCTCGTTTTTATGCTTACTGTTAATTAAACGACGAAACCATTCTTAAAAATTTAAACTCAGCGTTCTTGGGTCATTTTATGACCTTAAAATTCATAAAACGAATAGATATGGTAGTTATCACTGTAATTGGCGAAATGATGGTTTTGCATCATTGACGAGGACATGCGCCGCCTACCAGACAGGTACACGTCTTGATGACAGACATGACCCATGTAAGGCTAACCAGTCTTGAAAATTAGGAAATGTACATGCAAAATGATGACTTAAACATTACTTTTGCAATATTTTATTTTTGGGTAAGCCAGTTAAATTGGTACCACTTATTTTGTATTGGGTAAATTTAGCAAACTGATCAAGTTGTATTCATGATTCGAAAGTATATGGGAAAAGTAACTCAGACAAAAACTGTACCTCACACATATAGACCAAACACTTACATATCCTTTATGCCGAGAAAAAACAGTCAATCAGACATTGGTACAAGTTAATTTTATTACAAAATCTGAAAGGTTAAATAGTCTAGTAGTGCACCAAAGTTGGGCTTCCTGTCCCAAAATTGGCAACTTCACTAGTTAGATTTGTTGTGATTGTATTCATAAACAAACAAAGAATGCAAAACTATTTTCACAGAATTTAGATTTTAATCAAACTTCTTCTAATAAAAATCATAAAGTACCATTTTGAGGGGTGAATCCTCTCACAGTCTTAAGGCTGGTTTTGCTACATCAGAGAAGCACCACTCCGTTTACCCTTACAATGGTTTTAAGTAGACTTCGTCAATGGTAGAAAGATAAGTGTCCTATTTGTGTCATTATTTCTTACCTGGTTGGGAGTCAAGAGTTGGAGGAAGTTCGCCTGTTAACTTTGTTGTCAGTTTGATAGGACAAATGATGGCTGGCCGTGTGGTGTGGCGACCAATACGAGGTACGATACTGATATTTGGTCATTATAAAGTGAGATGTTAAAACAAACAAAAATGCTTGAGTAGATGTAAGTAAACCAGGGCAGTTTTCCCTTCATAAATTTTTCCGCAAAAGGAGAGAAAGCGTGCTGTTCCGGCGCAACGATGCAGAGGAGATAGTGTTTCATCGCACAGTGGATTAAGTCCCCATTACATGTGTCTCATGTTGTGATTTACGGTGTGTCATGTGGTACCACGTCCTGTCGACATAACTAAAAAGCCTATTCCAAATAAAAAACATAGGTATAAAATAAATCAAAATGTAGTTGCATTTTGGGGGTTCCTAAACACTATACATTGGTGGGGATGTAGTTACATAGGTCTTATACCATTCTTCAGGATCATTGCCGCACTTAGTGTGTTAAATGATCTTCTGCTGATGACCAAAGGGCTAGTATCAATAGGTATTGGCTGCTAGAATAATGATGGAATTGCCTTACAACGTATTAATTTTATTGTCAGTGAGACATTTGATTGAGTTTAGGGGTTATTTTTTAAATCCC